CCTCTCAGCATACACAGAGGCTCAGGAGTTTTTTTTGGTGCTCGGTGTCATCAGGGCATCTGGGAAGAGGGGAAAAAGGGCCCTTGTGCTCCACAACACTTGCCCAAAGGTGTGGTGGGGAAGGGAAAGTGCCCCAAAGGCCCTTGGCCTTGGAGGGTTCTGCTGGAGCCTCAACACTTGGAGCAGAGCAGATGGGCAGAGCATTGAACTGTGGGGCTCCCTGAGAAGCTGGTCCTGGGAGGTGGCCACAAGCCCTGTGCCAGCTGGGAAGCAGCATCTGTGGCCTGTCTGTGTGTTGCTGTCTGGCTTGCTGAGGGCTGGGAGGTGCCTCCTGAGCCAGCTCCCGTGGAGCTCCTTCAGGGCTGCGCCGCTGCCGGGCCGGTTGTGGGGTCTGGGGGAGAGCCTGAGGGGACAGGGCGCTGGGAGGCCCTGAAGGGCTGAGGGGCTGCGGAGGCCCTGCCGGGACAAGGGAGTGGGAAGCAGCGAGGGGAATGCGTGAGGGGGTGGGTGGCGGGAGGCTGCAAGGGGACAGGCTGGGCAGAGGAGGCCCTGAGGGGACAGGGTGTGGGTAGGGCTGAGCAACTGGGGGGCAGAGGCCATAAGCCCCTGCCCACTGCTGCAGCTGCCCATGGGACAGCAGCCTGTGCCCCACCCGCTACTGCCTTGCCTGGGGCATGCGGGCTCCCCTGCAGGCTGCTCTGCCCCGAGTCAGGCTGCCATGGAGCCCTTCTCCCCAGGAAAAAAAGCCTGGAACCTTTGGGTTTCAGGTGCAGGTTTTGGGCCAGCCTGGGCGCTCCATGGGCAGCAAGAGCTTTCTCTCCTGGCACCTTTTGTGTGGGAGGAATCTTCGTCCGTATGGAATTTTTGGAGTCAGACTTCTGGCTGTAAAATCCACCACTCTTCTCAGATGTGATGAATGGGCAACTCACAGAATCCCAGAGTCGTTTGGTTTGGAAGGGATCTTAAAGCTCTTCCAGTTCCAACTCTCCTGCCATGGGCAGGGACACCTTCCACTAGCCCAGGTTGCTCCAAGCTCCGTCCAACCTGGCCTTGGACACTTCCAGGGATCCAGGGGCAGCCACAGCTTCTCTGGGCAACCTGTGCCAGGGCCTCACCACCCACCCTCACAATAAGAAACGTCTTCCTTCTAACATGGAGGGAGTATTTACACCGGATTTTCATCAGTGCAGCTTAATTCATTCCTTCAAAACTTTTTCTCGCTCTCATTAATGATTCTTTAATACCTGATTAAAATAGACTGCTTTTCCAAACCATCCCACAGTCCTATAAACCCATGTTGTTATTAGTTGCACTGTTCCCTCTCTACCTCCTGGCAGTTAATGTTGTCTCCCCCAGGTAGAGCCAAACTGCAAATAAAGAGGAACATAAAAATATCCAAGTCCCATCCATTACAAAAGGCAGAGCTTGGCACCCCTTGTTGCTGGAATTTACAGACTGCTTTTTAGTTTTATCATTTTATCTCCCTTTAATGGCAAAAATCAGCTAATCCTGGGTGGCATCATGAAACCTGCAAACAGAAGCAGACCATAAGTCATTCCTGAAGCGTTGAGGCACAAATCCCTGTTGCAAGAAGCAGCAGCAGTTAACTCCTTCCACTCCTGCTCCTCTTCAAGGACTTCAGACAGGCTGCAAAATGGTAATTTATCTCATTAGCACCACTAATTATGATGCAATCCCCACCCTTTAAAGGTAGAGAGTGGCCCAGAGGCACGAGTGTCTTAATTAGTCAGTGAAGTCCATCAAGGTTTAGAGCAGGGGAAGGTGAACCTTTTTGATGAGGAGGCTCAGAGGATGAGGAGACTGGAGGGCTCAGACACTGCAGGCACAGGGTAGGGAGGTTCATTTTCAGCTGAAACACTCCCCTGCCATCCCACCTGTGGTTCCACAGACCTCCTTCATCTGTCCCTCAGATAACACTCCCGAGAGCCACTCAACAGGAAGGAATTAAGGAATGAGTTTTCATCCAAATGTTAAGGCAGGATCCCCAGGGAAAGCCATCACCATCTGCTCAGGTTTCTCTCCACATGCCAAGGGGGCTGGCAGACCCTCCTGTAAAACCCTCCAACAGGTACCATGCTGGGAAAGCTGCTTTCTTGAGAAAACAACAAAGGAACAGGAATGCATTGTCTTAACCAGTTACTGAAACTTTAATCAGTTGTGTAAGAGTCTGGAGGAATGAAAAGAAAGGCAGTGGAGAACTGCACCTGTGCTTCTGTGAGTTCATGGAAAGGATGCTGAATGCCATCCTTTGATGTTTTCACATCAGACTTCTGTCTCCCTGAAGGGGATAGTGGGTTTGTCTGGAAAATCTGGCATGGGCTAATCATAGGGAATAAAAACCCCCACAAAAATAATAATCAAAAGTAAAACATCAACAAAACCTAACTAGACAAACGTGATCTGACCCAAAACTTTAGATTCTGTTTCAGCTCACAAATGTGGGGTTCACAGGGGCAGCTTTGGAACTGGTTTCAGAGAGGCAGGTATTTCTTACTTCCTTGGATGATGTTACTAAACTTCCAGCTGACACTGCAGGGATGTTCCAAATGAGCTGCTGCCCCTCACCCTCATGACTTTCCTCATTAAAGAGCAGAACCCCAGAGCAGAGCCCTTCTATCAGCCCCATGTTCAAATGCAGGAGACCTGACATCATCATCATCATCATCACAGAATCATCACAGGGTGGTTTGGGTTGAGAGGGACCTTAAACTCATCCA